ATACTGAATGTTTTCAAATAGATTATTATAAATATTGTAACATTGTCTAATATTTATAAGAATTATATAAAATGAATTGCAAAGTTAAAATTATTTGTTTGTTATATTAGAACTTTAGTCAGAATCAAAATAAAATCTGAATTATTTTCGATATACAAAAAAAAAACTAAAAAAAAAAAAAAAAAAAAAATATAATTTTTTTTTCCAAAATCAATTATTTTGTTAAGACAAGCAGAAAGTTTTTTGAATCATTTAAATCGGACGCTTAGTTCTCTCAAAAACTGCCATTTTTCACATATTTAGCTCCGTATCTCCGAAACGGCTGGACCTGCCTTCGCCAAAAACTAATCAGCTCTTTTCCCTATCAATAGGAATCGAATGTTTTTTGAATCATTCAAATCGGTTGATCCGTGCGCCCGAAAACGTGACTGGAAATTTGTATCCATACATACATACACACACACACACACATCCATTTTTTCTGAAGTATGCCAAAACGTTCAGAAACCTTCAAAACGTCGAGAAATGTAAAAATTTTCAATTCCGATTTTCGGCCCATTACAATAACTTACCCTACGGGAAGTTAATAAATAAATAAATAACCTATACCTAAAAGATCATAAAACTGGCTGTGAGACGAGAAAGCGACAGCTTCCTTCCCAAAGCAAAAACGCAGTAACAGATTTAGTACCAGTTTAGGAAAGTTCAAGTTTCCAATACTTTATACACACTGTTATCATTACATGTCTCAATACTAATGCTAAATGGAAATTATAAAGCAGTAAGACCTCAGCAAACCTAAAGATTGTTTTGAAGCAATTTAAGAGTGAAAACAGCACTTAGTTGACACATTTTTACTACAGAGAGTGAGTAAATAACTTACGTCATATATTTTGTTTTCGATTTTTCCGCTTTTAAAGCCTCGTATAAAACTTTGTTCGCGTTAAACTTCGAAATTAACTTTAATAAAAAATATCACATTTCGTGCATATTTCAAGTCGAGCCTTGTCACTGACCATAAAGCACTTGTACTAAGCAGTTTATCGCATATATCATTTTCAGATTATAATGGGTAGTTGTAATTTTATTATTAAGTAATGAAAAAAAAATCAAATGCAAACTAAACTTTTTAAAAAGTCAGGTCATTTATCAGGTCAATATAACTGCGGCACCAGGAAAGCAAGGTTGATAACTAGGACTTATCCCGGCCAAACTGGGACACCTTAGTTAAATCTAAGAACAATTCTCTGTTAAGGGGGTATTCTAGTGTAAAGCGATGAATTTTAGGTCATTTTTAAAGCGTCGTAAAAGAAAGCAATGAATGTTTTTACTATCCATTTTTTTTACCACTTGTTTATTAATATTATTAAAATGCAATACAAAAATAAAAAAAAAGTTGAAAATTGAAGAAACTGGCAGCTGATGAAGTGGGGGGTCTCAAAATATTAGCACCTCAGTCTTGACATGATTTCAGCCCTCCTAGCCATCCGAAATAAAAGAAATAAAAAGATTATTAATCTACAATGATGTCGCAATCGCCCGAACTAGCGATGAGTAAAAAAAAATTTTTTTTACAAATTGGCGACTGTTTGAATAAAAAGGTGTCTTTTTTTTGTAAATTTAGTAAAAATTGGAATTTGGGGATGATGCTAGTTCGGGCTACAGATAGGCCTATAAACAAGACTCTTTGAACATTTCAAGTGAACCGGTCGAGTAGAACTCGAGAAATCGTGTCAACAGTACTGAAACAGTCTGTTCTAAGAAAAACGCATTTAAAATTTTGCGTGAAGCCAAACCAGTATGGAGACCGAGTCAGTAAAATGTCTATATCTCCGAAAATAATTCAAATTTTCAAAAACCTTCTCGTAGCCATATTCTTAGATAGTTGAACTTTGAAAATATGAAATAAAAAAAAATCGGTATTTTTGAATTTATACACTAGAATACCCCCTTAAATATTTTCTATTTCTATTCTACATTACATTCAAATCAGCAAAATTTTCAAATTGCCCTCCTGATTTACAAATTGCTCCCCGGTGAGGTGCGCGCCCCACGTTGGGAATCACTGCTTTACACTTTCCAAGGATCCCCAAAATAAAGTTTTCACAGAGCCTCGATTGCTATATAATTCAATCATTCAGCTCAATAATGATTAATTAATTTAATCATTCAATTCATTCAATATTTAATCATTTCATATCATATTTTAGATATGCCATCTTTAAAATCCAAACATAATAAATAAAAAACGAAAATCGCAAACTGAAGGATAATTACGCTGTACTATATTTACAATTAAAAAACGTTGCGGAAATAACTAACGAATTTTAACAGAAACATTTCAAAAGGTTTTGAAAAATTTAATAATTGCAATTAAATCAATTACGAAAAGTGATACTGGTCATTTAAAATTAAGCAGTTTAATCATTGTTTTCATTTTAATTCTTTGACAATATATTTTGCAAAAGAATATTGACAATAACAAATATGGCGTGTTCACTTATGAAGAAAAAGCAATCACATGGTATCTTGACACCGAAAAATAGGTTACAAACGTAAACAATTATTTATTCGATAATTTGTAACAAATTCGCTTTATATAGTCAAATTAATACTTTAGTATTATATTAATATATTAATATATTTATATATTATATATAATATATTTTATATTATATATTATTATTGAAGGTAATCACTTACCAATGACGTATCTTCCGATGTGTTATTGAACACGCCACTTTCAACGAACTTTTATGGAATCGTATGAAATTAAACACGAACGTTATTAATAACATAAAATATAAACTGTTCACTTAAAACACTATCACTCATTAAAATAAAAAAAAGTTTCTTATTCACCAACGACCACGTTTACAAAACTTTAACCCCATACTGACAGCCGATCGGAAAGGACTGACAAAATTACATAACTTCAACTGCGAATTGTTAAAGCAATTTTAAGCGCGAATTGTCATCATTTTGAACTGAAAAGAAGAATTTATTGTTGGATTTGGAAATTACACAATTTATAATATATTACTTTATATTTATAATATATTACTTTATATTTATAATATATTACTTTATATTTATAAATATAAAGTAATATATTAAAAATTGTGTAACTTCCAAGAGAACTTATGTTATTATTAACTTCCCGTAGGGTAGTTATAGTAATGGGCCGAAACTCGAAAATAAATTTTTTGCATATCTTCACGTTTCAGGGTTTCTGAACATTTTGACATACCTCAGAAAAAATGTATGTGTGTGTGTTTTGTATGTCCGCATTTTTTCGTTCACGTTTTCGGGCGCACGAATCCACCGATTTGAATGGTTTAAAACATTCGAATCCTATTGATAGGGAGATGTGCTGATTAGTTTTTGGCAAAGGCAGGTCCAGCCGTTACGGAGATACGGAGCAAAGAGTGCAGAAAATAGAAATTGAGGTTTTGAGAGAACGGAGTATTCGATTTGACAGTTTGTAAATGATTGGGAGAAGTTGTGTTTAGTTTTTGGCAAAAGCAGATCCAGCCGTTTCGGAGATACCGAGCTAATTGTGCAAAAATGACAGTTTTTAAGAGAACTAAGCATCCGATTTGAATGATTCAAAAAACTTTCTGCTTGTTTTGACAAAATAATTGCTTTTGGAATTTTTTTTTTTTTTTCATTTTTTTTAATATCGAATATAATTCAGATTTCAATTTTAATTCTGGTTGAAGTTCTAAAGCTCAAGTGAATAACTTTAACTTTGTAATTCAGTTTATATAATTTTTCTAATATTAGATGATATTATAGAATTTATAATAATCAGTTTGAAAACATTTAATATTTCTCGAACATTTTGTTACGATACGGAAAGTTCCAGCAATTTGCCTTAAGGCACAATGCCATGCACCACTAGTTGTTATTATTGAGCTAATTTTTAACCGTATCTGCATAGATAAATAAGCGTATTTGATTGTGACGCTTAATATCCGAAATTTGCTGTGAGCTAAAATAATTTTATTCTACACATTAGTATAAAGATGATATTAATTATTTTAACATTTTGAATAAAATTTATTCATAGAAAAATTAATTATTTTCGCAATTATTCTTTTAGCTAACCATATTTTTTCAAAGCAATCTTTAAATGGTGGTGCATATAGCATCGTGCCTTAAGGCAAATTGCTGAAACTTTCCGTACGTTATTTAATTTTTTTGAAAGAATTGGATAATTTTGATTTTTTTTAAATTTTCGAAAAAATGCCCTTTTGAGTAATTTGAATTTTTTTCAAAATTCTGAAAATTTTAAAACCCATTCAAGTCTGTCGTGATTCATACTATCAAAGATGTCGATTAGTTTAAACTATGAAACTATATAGTTTCATAGTTTAAACTTAAGTTTCATATGAAACTACGAATTAAAAAAATTTTTTTTTTAATTCTATACATCGATGAAAAAACATGCTTCAAATTGGGGCATCATGTTGCTCTTTCAATTTTTCCTTTTTATTAATTATTTATTAGTATGTTGTTCTTTAGCACAATTTTAGTGTATTTAATAATTTTTATAATTATTTTTTTTGTGTTTTTCCTGGTTTTATACTGAATATTAATATGTTTAATAGAATAAAGAATTTTTCTATTGGGCTGCAAAAATACTTCAAATATGTATCAACGTCAACAAAACTATATATATATATATATATATATATATATATATATATATATATATATATAATTCTATATCTGATTAATGTGTTCTAGAAAAAACACTTTTCTAACAATAAGTTAAGTTAAAAGGTTAAACAATGCCATTTTTGTACAGTAGTTTAAAGTCACACTCTCAATCACATATGAATTGATACAACCAATTTGAAAAAAAAACCGTTTCTTTTATTTTATTCACATATATAACAAATATATGCATGTAAAGTGTTTTTACCATTTTTTTTTATAAAAACGTAATTATTATCGAAAAACATTGTTTATCACTACATGACACACTGCTCTTTCATAATAATCATACTTTGATAATATAATACAATTCAATTAACAATACATACACATATAATATACAAAACCTATCAATAATAATAAGTCATGAACACATTATTCAACTCAGTCAACAGCTTCTTGCGGGGGCCTCACATACACATCACCATACTTTACCATATATTTCTTGACAAATTCTTTGGCTTTGACTTTAACAGACTCGTTGAAAGTCAATTCCTCTACAGATTTGCAGTGTTTTAGTTCCTTTACCATAACAAAGTGTGTTAACTGAAATAATAATACTTTGTAAATCAACAGATAAAATATTGTTATATGCAAAATTATAAAGAAAGATAATGTTGATACTACATAAAATATAATATATAATAAAATTAATATCAAAATCATAAATGTTTGTTTTTATGTATTATAAAATATATACAGTAGTACCCCGACTTACGAATGACCCGACATACGAGTGTTTCGATATATAAGCTTTGACCGAGTAAGAGTTTTCTAGAAAAATATTAATGGCAAAATGTAAAACTTCGTCAGTTGTAACAATGATTTAGCTACCATAGAAATATTTTGGGTGTTTTATGATAGTAAATTATTTTATAGTTAGTCATTTTAATTATATATTAATATTATTTTCGTAGTTATGATTTACCCACACAAATATATTAAGAATTATTTTAATGTTAGAAATTTTAACTATACATTAATAGTGATTCTGCTTCAATTTTGTACATTTACAAAATATTATTTACTTTTATAAATATGGGTCCAAAGAAAAGCTCCATGTCTCTTGAATTAAAGCGTGAAATTATTGAAAACTATGAGAATGGCGAGGAAGTATGAGCATACACATCATTTAAATTTAAATAGAAAGTGTTGGTAAAGGGTATAAGTCCAGCTAAAATTCTTACAATAATTTAGAAGCAGCTTTCTGAGCTATAAAAGATGTGGATAAAAGTCACCCCAAAAAAGTTGCAACAGTTCGAGCATGGGATTTGTTCTATAAATTTTTGAAACACTTATACAATTTTTTGTTGATACAGCGTCCTATCTTTAAACCCAACTAATACATACATACATATATATATATATATATATATATATATATATACTTCTTTATTTATATATAATTATATAACTGACCTTTTTGGCTAAATGTTTGAAATCTTTGGTATTGGTAATTCGACCAATCAAACAATCAGGTTTTCTAAAATGATTCAACTGGCTGACAATAACTTTGGCAACATCAACACGGAACTGTTCCTTGATTCTAAGGCCTTCTTTGGAATTTTCACTTAAAGTAAACAAAAACGGAATATCTTCCTTGCTTTTTTCAAGTGTTTGATTTTTATTTTCTTCAATAGCTTTCAATCGTTTCTGATGGTGATGAAGGACATTCTGCTCATGTGATGAAGATTTTCGCTTAATTGCTAAAATTTGCTGTTTTTCTAAGTTTTCTTCAGGCAGGGCTTGCGGTATCATCATCGGAAGACTACTTTCCTCAGATGGATTTGAAACTGGTAAAACTACTTGTGGTTTTGAATGCCTAGACTCCATACCTTTAACTTTCATGATTTCACGCTGCATTTTCAAATACTTTTTCATTTTCAGTTTTTCTTTATTCTCCTTGTAGCGTTTTATCTCCATTTTCTGATGCATGCGATCATGTTCACTGCGAGGCTGTAAATAAAATATAATTGAGAATACACTCATTGCATGAAAGGATTGTAATACACATTTTACATCTTGAATAAAGTAATATTTTTATAATTAAATAAATAAAGTTGGTGGATAAAAGAAATCTAACATCAATATAAAATGTTATAATTAAAAGATAATACATTTAATCATATAATTATTAACTTCAATGTTAAAGAACTTTGGTGCTTTATTAGAACTATTAAGATTATAAGCATATAATAATACAGGTAACACCCAAAATTTCAAAAAACCATGCTACATATTATATAATTTCATAATAAAAGATAATATACATATTTAATACATTTTCTTAAGAAGTAATACTTAAAAATAAAATACTTAAAATCTATAGAAGTAATAATTTAAATCATTTCTTCATAATAACTAAGTGCTATCTCCAATGGGTGTTATTTGGGGGTTACATGTACTAGATAACACATATTGCATAGGAATGTAGAAATATGTGTAATTAATTATAATCTTAATTCATTAATTACTCACGCTTATCAATATTTCTGTAACTAATCCGTTACGCTTTATTCTTTTTTTATCCTTCAGATATTAATTTCGCAATAATATGTGAAATATATTAAAAATATATTATTACAAAAAGTAGAATATGAATTAAATCCTTTATGAGAAAATTAGTGATGACAATTATAAATTTGATTTGATAATTACCATGGTATCATCAGGCTGAGGAGTCACATCACCCACTTGACTACTATCCGAATTGACCACAGGAGATGACAATGAGTCAAAAGCAGCTGAACCTGGTTGCAGCTCTCGCACACGTTTCGGTTTGTAGACTGGACTATTCAGAGTCGGTTTTGTAATGTTCAAAGGAATAGTCATTTCGTAAATAGAATGTTGGTCGTCGCTAGGCGTTGTCGATTCAGCTTCAGCTTTCATTACTACCACTAAAATGTACAGAATGCATATAAATGCAAAATATATAAAACGAAAATTTTGAATTAGAATTATTTTTGAAGTAAAATTTCTTTAGGCGCGACTAGAGTGTAAATCCGTACAATTCAACGGAAGTCCGTTACGCCCGAACTGTTCGCTCTCGATGTATCTCGTTGTATGCGTACCGGCATCAACGTTGTAGGCGTACCGATAAACATTTTAAAGTTACATCGTAGTACAAATCATGGTTTAAAAAAAAATGCCTGAATCAGAAGAATATTTTACCCTGTTCCTTGAAAATAATAAAACAAATTAAACATTTGTGCCGTGTACTAAACATAAGTTTATTGACTAGAAATTATTTCTATATTATTCGTAGTTTCTATAAATCATTGAAGTTATTAAAATGGAAAATATTTTTTAGGCAAGACAGATATCACAGCTGTTCAAAGAATTAGATTATATTGCCAGCGAAAAAGTAAGTAAGTAGTACTGTTTCTGTATTTGTGGTATATTTATGAAGTATAATATCACCTGCTAATAAGAAGCTTTTACTTTATAACAAATGTATAAATAAAAAATATATATACAATGTACATATGTTTGTATGTATGAATTTTGATACTTGCAAATAGTAAATTGTTAAATGTTGAATTTATTATATATTTGTTATCTTATTTAGCTTAATTATTCATGTATTAAGATACCTCTGCTCTTATCCAATTGCTCATGCCGAGCCTTCCTTATTGAATCAAGACCTTTTAGAGTTAAAGCACTAGGACTCTGATTAGATAAAATATTTCCATGAACTTGTCTCATCAATAGAGTATCTTCAAGATTGTCACTGTCAGAATCATCAGAATTGTCTGAATTAATTATCTTGTTATTATGGATAATATTTTTAATAAGTTTAGATTCGGTCTTCAATTCATCATCATCCGAAGTGTCCGAATCTTCAAATTGATTAAAACGACCTGAAATTTTATATTTCAATTAATTAAATAAATTATCTTATTTGATTCCAAAATTAATTTGAATTTTATTTCTAACATATATACTATCACAAAAGCAAAAAAAATCTGACAATCATCTTTCCACTTACCGAAAATATTTTTGCACATGTCCGGTGGCAGCCACTGTGAAACACGTTTCTTGCTATGATAATAATAAATTCTACCATTCTGATCAATCGCAGATAACCAACCAGGAGGTAAATCTTCAGGGGGAGGAATTTTGTAAGGATTTGCTGCACCAATGTTTATTTTCTCTGTATCCTTTTCTGAGACAACGGACTCTAAGATAATAAATGTTAAAAAAAAACTTATATTATGAAACATTTTTTTGAAACATTTAATAAGCTGAAGTTTGAACATTTAAAATCAAATCTGACCTTTATCTTTCTTCTTTTTATCCTTCTTCTTATTCTTCTTACGATGTGATTTCTCTTTATCTATGTTTGAATTTTTTATAACGGATTCGTCCACAAATTCTTCTTGAGCTGTTATATTTGGCTGTGGTATAACATTTTGCCCTGATGCCATCATAAATGTCATCATCTGTTGCTGTTCAGGTGTCATGGAAATATTTGATTGTTGGAAGGGCGGCATCATCTGTTGCGCACTTGTTATTACAGGATGCTCACCAGGTGCTATCATAGGCTGTGGACCACCAGGAATCCATGCTGCTGACCAGGCATCATAATATGCTGCTGACCGGGAACAACAGGACCTGGAGCTAACAAATGTGTTTGGTTGTTAGTCATCATATGTGGACCTGGGGGAATCATAACTGGCGGACCGTTTCCGGGAGGCATCATTTGGATCTGCTGTGAACATGAGAAATTAAAATAAAAATTCGTGAGTGCATCTTTTATAAACAGCTTTGTAAATAGTCAGTTTTTTTTCTAATAAATACCTGTGTAGGTGTCATAACTGGCTGTTGCTCTGGAGCGGGTAGTGTTTGAACCACATTGTTTTGAAAATTTGGGAAAGGCATCATAATTTGTTGTTGACCAAATTGATCTGGCATCATCATACCAGGATGTGGGAAGTAAGCTGGCTGATTGGGATACATCATTACATTAGGTTGTGGCGGCATCATCACATTAGGTTGTGGCGGCATCATTTGACTTATATGCATTCCTATGCTGGCATCCTACCAGATATATAGTGAAGTTTATTTATTAAATTGTAAATAGCAACTCAAGCTCTATTATGATTATGGTAGCAAATGTGTAACCAAATGTGAGAAATAATACATACACAGCTATATCTCTAAATATTGATTTAATTGAAGAAGAATGCTATCACATAAAATTTAAATATTGCTGCATATGGCAAAAAAGCTCATGCCGAATGCAATAATCCATAAAAAATCAAAATGTAGCATAGCTAAAATTGAGCTTGCAACATACGATATAAACATTACATTATGTGTATTGATATATTGGAAACTTAACAAATAGTAAACGCTTATATTATGCATATATTCACAAAAGTGGCCTCAAAGGGTGAAATCAGTTTCAATTTTAAAATAAAATCGCACAAAAACAATAAACCATAAAATAGATCGGATAATAACAGGCTTCACTAAACATTTATAAACATACACATACACATACATGAAAACTGTGTTTGTGTTTATATATATATATATATATATATATATAATAAATTTAAAACCATTTAAAGAATTTTAATAAAATTACTAATCTGTAATAAGCAAACATACAGACTAGCAAAACAATTGTGTAATCTTTGTAAATAATATTTTCTTTTCTATTCTTTTATAATAGCATAATCAACAAACAAAGAACTTATTAAATAAATATCAGCGCCGTTTTCATACCTTCTCCTCAGATCCTGTGGTCTTTTGAATTAAAAAGATAATATAATAAAATATATACAAACACCAATTACATTTAAAATAAACAAATAATAACTCACCAATTGTCGAGTGTTCCATTCTTCTTTAACAGGATCATAATACATGGGAAGGCCTGTACTAGGATCTGGTGCAGGAGTAGTTAAAGGATCAAAACCCATTAAAGAACAATGGTTGCTGTGAGCCCTCCAAAGTTCACGACCAGCTCGGAGACGCTTCTCGGTTTCTTCTGCAGCCACCTAAAGCACAGAAAAGTAATATAATGAATGAAGTAAAGTGTTAAATCATATTCAAGTTAAAAATGTATGAACTTACTCTTTCAGCAAATAGTTGCCTTCTTTGAAATTTCGAAAGTGAACTGTTGTTCCTGTCTAATTTTTTTACCACTGATCTCAATTGTGTAGGACCTCCTGAAGCACCCAAAGTACTAATAGTATTTTCTTTGCCTGAAGACTTAAATCTATATTTTTTAATATCTTTACGTTCAGAATTCGGGTCAGTGTACCCACGATTTGCTTCACGTTCATGTTCTTTCATCTGCTCAATTCGCTCTCTTTTCGGTATCCTGAAAACCTAAAAATTTATTGTTAAATAAACTATTCAAAAATATAATATTCTGAGCTCATATAAACCTTCATAAAATACACTCCAAGTAAAAAGAATTTAAAAATCAAATTTAAAAACAATCACAACAAAATTAAAACATAATAATATGTACACACACACACACACCCATACACTTATAAATTCTGTTGTCAAATCATACAGAATAGTAATGTGCAAAAAACTAAACTTGATTATTTAAACATTTGGCATAAATTCGCTTTTTTTTATTTCATTCATTAATTAAGTAAAACATTAAGTTTATTATTCAAAACTAATTAAGTTAAAATGCAGAAGTATTCAAAAAAAATTTCACTAATTAGTTATTTACCTCTTTAAGTGATTTCCAGTTCAGTAAAAGTTGTAACGCAACTTCAACTAATTTCTTTCTTAATTCAGTAAAGTAAATGGCATCTTCATCAAATTTCTCTTCATTTGAAAGCTCTTTATTATCATGGTCTATTTGTTCAATTTTTGGTTTAACATCTGTCGAGTTATCTAGAGAAGATTCATCATTCTCTAATTTCGGGGAAGTTTTGGAAATGCTTCCAATTTTGTCTTTCTCATTTAATGACTTAGATTCAAGTTTTGCAGAATCTAATTCTTGTTTTACAGAATCAATAATTAAACCTGTTGCCTCATCAACTAAAATCGGCGTTCTAGATGCATCACTATCATCGGAAGGTGATGAGTTAGGAGATTTTTCTGAGTCATCCAACTTTTGACTCCATTTTTCGACAGTGGTAAGCACTTTAGAATCTTGAAGCATTGTTTTATTGGGAATAGGTAAAGTCATCAGAGTATTCAAAATTTCTAGTCTGCACAATATTATAAAATTGATAATATTAATAACTTATTAATAATGTTATTAATAACTATATTAAAATTGATATGTTATAGTAATAATGATTTCACTTATATACAAATTACCTTAAGTTAATAAATTCCTTTTCATTTTGCTTGTCATTTAATACTGAAGATTTATTATTAGTAGTAGAATCACACATCCAACTGTATATCAATCTCAACCCATGATAATCAAGAAACAAACGTCTAAAACATTTTTAATATACTATCTTATGATACTGAACAACAATAAATATGATGTTATCTTGTTTAAATTACCTGCAAGGTACTTCTCCGCCTTGAATTACTGATAAAAGATTGATGCGATGCTGAGTTTCTTTAGCTCGAACCATCAGCCGCGATAATGTTAAAGTATGAGCTTGGTTTTTCAGGCCAGTTCTTGAAAGCATTTGTATTTCCTCGTCAAGCTGTTAGAAAATATTTAATATTAATCAAACCCTTGATACAGGCAAATACATTTTTTAATCAGAGCAATTTATGAATGTCTGTACATAAGTTTGCGTTATATTCTAATTCATTATTTTAAACTCACATCAAGATCTTCAAATATGTCTTTCCTATGCACCATAGATTTTTTATTTTTCCTGCCCGCCCACCTGCCCAGTGTTCTCTTTTTGATTTTTGGAGATTTATCTGATGCCTTTATTTTTTCAATATCCTCTGGTTCCTGAGTTTGAATCCATTCATCTTCAGAATCTGTTAATTGCTTAGTTGATTTCTTAGGTTTTGGTTTAACTGCTTTCTCATCTTTATCAGTTTCTACTTTGTCATTTTCTTCTTCTTGCATTTCACTTGCTTTTGGGCTGTCGCAAGTTGCTGGTTCTTCTTCACTTTCTGATTCTGCAAATAGTTTTATTCAAATAATAATAAAATATTGATGATTATATTGAATATAGTTTTATACAATAAAATTCAATGCTACTCTAACAAAACAAATAAAGTTTATTTGACCACGACACTACCAGGGTATGATTGAAAAAGATATTCATGTTACATTAACATATGTAAATTTTCAAAATCGCTGACAATGGTCAGAAAATTTTGTATGTTTTAAGTTTTTTTTAATCCTACAGTTTTAATAGACAGGTGTAAAATTACTACATAATAAAAAAAAATTGATCCACAGCGTGCTTATGTCGATAATTAATAACCTGATTCAGAAACCTCATCAGATTCATCAGATTCCGGTTCTTCACCAATCCATCCTCTGCAGTTTGAAGCTTCGCAGAAACATTTTTGGGCTTCTTTTCTAATAAAATGTTTTAAGTAATATTAATGATTGTACATGTAATTATTCTTCTATGTATAAGTAAAAATTAGAATACAAACTAACCCATATCTCTGAAACTGATAATCGAAAGTGATTTCATCTCCCCTCTTAATGTTTCGCTTGCTAAAAAACCCAATTCGAAGCTCGCCATTAACAGTCCATTTCTGGGTTTCTGCATTCGGGTCACATGAGTGATTAATAAACCTCGATATATTTCCTTTATTTGTAGCATCAATGATAGCGTCAGATTTCAATGCCATAAAATAATAATGCCTATTTCTGTCATTTGAGTATTCCTCAGCCCGCTTTTCAAACTGTTCGGTATTAAGAACTTCACCAACGTATTCCATGATAAAGTCCCCACTTAAAAAAAGCAAAGTAGATAATGATAAGAAATACAAACAACAAAATTAATAGGTACCAAAAATTGCCGATCTAATCACTTGTCAAAATAGATGTATAATAATTTATGTTCTTCAGTAAAATTTTAAATAATTATTCTTTGAAAATCAACTCAATTTTTCTAACATATAAGTATAAACATCAAAAGCAATATTATATAATAATTCATTTTATTAGATATTTTTATATATGTGCTGGTAATAAAAACAGACACATAAAAAAATATTGGTTTATTCATTATAAATATATCAACAGATTGTTTACTTTTTTAATTCACAGAATTATAACTACAAAAATTAAAAAAAAAAAAAACTTATGCAGTTCTTCAAAGTCTTTGAAAATTGTGGTCTTCTTTAAATTTTAGTATTTAATCTTCACTTTATATCCAAATTTAATACATATGTATGCGCACACCCAAGAAATATACAACCTAAGATGTTTGTCAAATTCAATTTCAATCAGTAGTGTTGTGCTAATTTTTTTTTGCCGGAACGCTAAAATTAAAAAACCGGTTCAAAAAACGGTTCTCGTGTTTGTTCCGGTTCCGTTGGAAAAAGAAAGAAATAAAACCCATTTTGTGCACATATATATGTATATGATATTCATTACAAAACCCATTTTGTGCACATATATGTATGTTTATTACAATAATAGGAACGTTTAATAAAAATTAGTTAAATTATAATTTTTAAAATTCACTTATTAAATCATTTTCTGTATGTAGCGATTCTTTTTTAAATTTTTTTTTGCCGGAACGCGTTCCGACGCGTTCCGGCTCGACAACACCACTGATTTTAATCAATATATTAATCTGGACTCAAGTACAGTCAAAATTTAAATCTTTTAAAAAAAATAGTGAGAATACAAATATAATAATAATTTTAATTTTGGAGATATTTTTTGCCATTTTGATCATTCATCGAATCTTACTATCATATTTATATGAGATATTTAATGCATTATCACAAAAATAGAAAGATCTTTCACTTGCATCAATAGAACACAGTGCAATAATCACAGTCATCGAAACAAAGGCATTTCATTTTGAGATTAATATAACTTAATAAATAATTTATTATTCAGTCTATATATTTAGTTTATAAACCATTTAATAATTTTGCATAGTATACTATAGGTATATACACTTATAGTTATACTATGAGTTCTAAGCAAGAGATAATGTAATTAAACATAATACCTCCCTAAACTATATTGAACATACATCAAACTATTTACATATACAGCACAAATTACTAATGCTTGCAATTAACATGCCTTAAAATATCCACCAATTGTCCATGGTCTATACCAATTGTCTATGGTCTATACTCGCAATGTCATACTCTTAGCTTTTAAAATGTTAAAAAAAAACTTTCCTTCTAGTTTTCATGAACAAAGTCCATGATATATTCAAATTAAATAAATAAATCATCTAATTGAATTTATCATCAATCCAGTTCAAATTGGTCTGAGGTATTTATTTCTGAAGATCCGCGCAAAAATAGTAAAACAAACTTTTTGAGTTTTGGTTTTTAATATTTTATATAAAATTAGGTAAATGCAAATGATACCTAATTTACAAACTGTAGTTTATATTTTAAAATAGGCAATTTCCTGATAAATTAAATTCTGACAATTTTCAATGACTGCGACTTCTAACTAGAAATTTCTCATCTTAAACAATTTAACTGGAGAATAAATCCATTTTGCTAAATCCGGAAAGTATGCCATCAATAGCTGATTGCAGATTATCGAAACAATTAACCCCAAAGTAGATTTCAGCATAATTTAGTATTTTTATAAATTCTCCCCAGAGTCCAAACTTTGTATAGAGTAGTACGCTGGATCATTTCACTTATGTGTGATTGACACAGGCTTCACCTGATCCTGTAAAAATTTTCCACTGTGTTTCATAAAACGTTGCCGTGATTTTATTTTGTTTACGCAATTTGTGAAAGATCAATTATTTTTGTAAATATGCACTGACAATATAAAATATCTAAGTATGTATAGAATATCTAAATTGGTTGAAATTTATCAATTCTTATTATAAAGATCATTGAGTCGTCTACTTGTTTGAGTGAAAAAAGAACTTTATCTAAATCAAAATTATATGACTATATACTAAAAAAATCAATATTATAACACACACACACACACACACACACATATATATATATATATATATATATATATATATAATATAGAATTTTGTGATATGGTATGCCTCATATTCAGTGTAATTTCAAAAACAATTACTTATATAATAATAAACACATGCTTTAATATTTTATCTAAATTACATTTAATTTTTGATATACAAAAAACACCAACTATCCCTTGCAATGCTTGACCTAGTACTAAAAACATTCCATGAAAAGACTTATTTAAACGGAGCATGACAGAATCAATGTTAATAGTTCGGACTAACAATAGCGTAAATCTGAGAACCCACACAAATATTTTACACGACTCTTATATAAACATCATTAATAATTTATAATTTTTTCATTTATCTTATTCTCAATAAATTAATCTGTTTTTATATTTGTTGATTTTAGTATGCGATCGCGCACTCCTTTTGTTTACATTATAACAATAGCCATCGTGTTCTCCATCTCGATACATAAGATTTGTTTAGAATATTTCTGTGTCACATGTTTTTAGTACTGAGTCAAGCACTGCCAGGGATAGTTGGTGTTTTTTGTATATCAAAAATTAAATGTAATTTAAATGAAATATTAAAGAATGTGTAGTATATAAGTAACTGTTTTTGAAATTACACTGAAGATGAGAGGCATATCATGGTCTCGAAATGTCTGTAATTACCAAATTAAGTGTGTGTTATTACCAAATTAAGTGTATTGTTCATATTTAACATTTAATATATATATATATATATATATATATATATATAAGTTCATATAAAAATGAAAACATTAATAGTGTTTAATACTCGTATAAGCCCGCTTTCTTACTGTTTAGTGTAAGATAAGAAACCAAAATAGAAAAAATCAGTGAATTGCAACTCACCATATTTGCATAATTAATTTATTTTGTACTAAGCTTTTATGACATTTTACAAACTATTAGTTTTAAATTATTCGTTGTTTCAAAGTAAACAACTGTAAGGCAAGAGAGGAATTTATCCAAAGATAAATCTATTAATGTTTGATGTTAGTTACATATAATATGTTACATAGGTTAGTATGTTTAAAAATTAAATAACAAAGTTAACTATAACTTACGGCGTCATGTCCATTGTTGCTTGTATGCCAAATCCCTTCTTCTCAGTTTTAAACACTTTGCAATTAGCATATTGACTTTCCTGAAACCTCTTATTTGTACATCTATCACCGACAACACAATTTGGACCACTAAAAATTAATGTTTAATTAATTAACAATGAATAATTAATTAATTCTACATTAGTATACTAACAGCATATTTATTTAGATAAAAATAATTGTGTTTTTAGTAATTATTAATTGAACTGTATTATTGTTCAATTGTATCTAATCACAATCAATTCATTCAGTTCACAAGATTAAATGTAGTTTATGAAAAAATAGTTGCTTTTAGACAAAATTTAATAAAACTTATGAGTAATATTGATAGAGTAAGTAAAGGTATGAATTGCTTATAATATGAATACGTATGAATACATTACAATAATTACATAAAACATTCAAATTTAAAGAATAGATTTCATTATGAAGAATACATAGTTTAACAAAATTACAAACGTATTTTAGCCAAAGAATGTGTTAAAAAGAATGCCAATGAACTTAAAAACTAATTCATAGATATTTATATATTTATAGAAGGCCACATAGAAGTTGGCCATATTGCATCTTGATGACTTTTTCCATAAGGTTACACTATAAAATGAAAGGAATGAAAATCACAGGAAAAGTTATGATTAAGCAAAAACAAAACTAAATTCAGGTACTTAGTGATTATACTAGAGTATCAAATTAAAGTATTTTATCTCCATTGTAACAGAACAGAATATAATTCAAATAAAAATATGTGATATGACTTGAATATCTTTGTATAGTAAATATTCCAATTTCTTTAAACTAGAAATTAGCTTTTCTAATTCCTTTCTTTAAAAATAATAGTTAACTTAAACTAACATGTGATATAACCTAACTTTGTATAATAGATATTCCAATTTCTTTGAACGAAAAATTAGCTTTTCTAATTCCTTTCTTTAAAAATAATGGTTAACTTAATAAAAGTCAATTCAATACTTACATCAGTGCGCGTTCATGCATCGTTAATTTTTTTTAATAATACGTAAATTTTATGGAAAAAGTAAAAATTTAAATCTAAAACTGTTAAATGAGTTACCATTCAATCATTAGTAAACGGTTAAGGCAATCTTCTCCGCATCCCATTTCACCGCGGGCGATTTCTTCAGGTGTCAAAAAGCAGTCGCACAACATTTTTTTCGCTTCTCTGCATACTGTTTTTTCGCAATGGTATTCGTTCTCCTGCAACTGAACGAATTGCCTTAGCCTGTAATCACAAGAATTATATAAATTTAAAAACTCTCTGTTTAACTGATAAAAAGTGCGAATTCATCAGTATTATAGAAGAATTATATTAAATATTAAAAATAAAGTTCGCATAATAGTTTTTAAAAGTTTTATAAACTCCGCCCACACACACCAGAAATGGTAAGTTGGTAGTGGCTGCTATGAACGCCAACTTCCTAGCGATTTTTTCTGACGTTGCGCGAATCTTTTAAGCGGCGATTGTGACAGTTAAAGTTTTCGGAAAACAGATTGGGCAATATGTACTGTTTAAAATTTTGCTATAAACTCGTGTTTTAAACGTTTTTCTTATCTTTTGTGATAAATATCTTAGTGTTCCAAAAAATATATTGTGACAAGAATATTAACGATGTTGGATTCGACGAAAACGTTATTTATATGAAAGCCATTAAGTAAAAAGAACTGTTTAATACATATGTGTGAGTTCTTAATTTTTCTGCATAATGATTATTACTTATTTATATATATAGCAAATGCGCTACTATTGAAGAGTGATCAATCCAAATATTCTGAAGTAAATGACAAAAAACGCCGTTCAACATAAATCTTCTACTAAGAACCTTCTGGGGCACTTATAATGACATTTGTGAATGACCACTTATAATAACATTTGTGAATTAGTACTTATAATAAAATTTGTGATGATTTTTTTCATTATACTGAATGCTAACTATACAAATAAAGAAACTAATTCAGACCATATTATTTACTTCACATAACAGATACAAATATGAATAAGCAATTTCATACATGTAAGTATTATTTCAAAATTTGTCAAATTAGGATTTAAATTCTCAGAAAAGTTATTACAACTAAAAACAGTTGAAAAGGTGTTAATTGATCATATGTAACTTAATTTAAAACCAAATTATTGAACATCTACTTTGAGATGAACAATTATGATAAGAAATATTGTATCAATTTCACAAATTTTGAAAGGTATTAGTATAAAGTGTAAACAAATATATAAAGCGTATGCATTTGTTAATAAAGAAGTAACCATATCATGCAATGTATTATTAAACTGCGCATTAGTTAAAGCTGTGCGTTGCTTCATTTTAACCTACCGCTCTTCCATATCTTTTTCAAATTGGAGTTCTTCTGGTGTTTTAGATTTATTTTCTGAGCTAGATTGCTGACTGTTTTTGTTGGAATCATCGGAGTTACTACTTTGGGATGGAGTTGCCATTTCTAGTTCACTGGTCCTTCGCCAGCGAGATTTTACTTTAACAGGTTTTAAGTCAGATGAATCAGAATTATCAGACGATGTAAGCTCTTTAGACAAAGGTTTGATGGAAAGTGCATCATTTTGGTTTTCAGTGGAATCAGATATATCTTTGTCTTTATCTTTTTCTGATGTCTGATCTAATCTTTTAAATCTATCATTTCTCACTAATCCATGCCCTTTTGATTTTTTCTTTAGAACACTGATGGTCTTGATGCGATTTGATCTTCTTATTAATGGTGAAACTTCTTCACTTGTATTATCCATAATTTCTAATGATTGTTGTTCATCACTTAGAGCAACTTCTGATGGTTTCAGATTTGTTTCGTTCGATGCACATGAAATACTCGTTTCAGAAATTTTTAAATTCAAATCACTTAAATCAATTGAAATACTTGGTTCAACTATTTTAACCTTTATTTCAGTAGATGCTGAAAAATTATTTTCAGTTGTTTCCGTACTTAGATCACTAGATGATACTGATGAAATAATTGAACCGGTTGTCATTTTTTCACTAGATTCGCATGATGAGTTCGATGAAGTAGAATTTTTTTTTTAATTTCTCCATATCCACGATTAGAATCTACCAATTCATAACTTGCTCCCTTGGTTTTTACAAGATCGTCATTCAATGCTATGTCTGAGTTATCAGCTTCATTTAAACTTGTGTCCAAATTTTCCTCATTTTCATTGTCAATATTTTCGCCAAAACTTTCATTCATGTCAACACCGTCATCAATACTTTCATCAAAGCTTTCCTTTTCATCATCATCATTTAAATTTAATTTCACTTTCCAGCAATTCAATAACTTGCTGTCTACCTTGTCATTAATAGATTTTATGGAATCTGTTGTCTTACGATGCTGTTCATCAATAGATTGACAAGAATGTTTAACAATATCAAAGCAAACACCAGATGAAGATTCGTCTATGTCACTGGAAGAATTATCTGAATAATCTATATCCTCCTTTTCTAATTCTGAATGTAAATTACACTCGTGCTGTTCAAAAATTGAACTATCAACTACCATTTTCTCCTCTACGGTAGCTATAATAGTTTCTTCAATTTCAACTTCATAGCTGACCACCTCTGGGTGATCTTGGCAACTTAATTCTTCCACTGTCATAATTTCTGTGTTGTTCTCCTCAAATACATCTGAACTAGTAAGGCTATCTTCATCACAATCTTCAATTATTTCAAAAACTACGGTAGTTTCTTCTTGAATATCAACAATTTCCTCGAGACTGCCTATGTTTACCTCTTCACCATTTAATAAGGCATTATCTACACTGTTTGAATCATCGTCACTTGATCTAGAACGTGATCTAAATTCATTAGATAATATATATTTTGCATAAACATTTTCGGACAAAGTCATTTTTTCAGTATTTTTATGGCAGAGAGGATTTTTATTTGTGACAAGAACTTCTTCTACGACTTGATAACCTAGAGAGTCTGATTCATTTCCATCATCACACTGTTCACTAATTTCATTATATATAATATTTTCTACAATTTCTTCAGAGACATCACTATTTCTAGAAATTTCATTTGATACAATAGTTTGTTCAATAATTTCATCAACTATAATATTTTTGTCAGTCATTTTGTTAGCTAATGTATTTGTGTCCTCACCTAAAACATTATTTTTAATACTTTCATTTACTATTAGTTTATTCTTGGCAATTTCTTTATTTGAAATAATATTTTTATTGTCATTGCAGCTCACAAGATTACTTTCAGTAGAATCGGCTTCAGGATTTTCTATGTGAATTTGTTCAGATGTAATGTTATATTCAATGGTTGGATTTGAGGAAAGATCTTCACTAATTTCAATAGAATTCCTTCTCTCATTCATCAATCTTTGCCCCTCATTTGAAACATATCGAAATCTATCAAATTTTTTATGTAACCTTTTAAGTACAACAACAGAATTTTTATTATCAAACGAAGGATCATCTAATGGTGCAGAGGTATCAATAGGTTGTGAATCTTGAGTATCATTGTTTTCTCCCTCTTCAGGAGACACTTCATCTACTTTTTTACTTCGTCTAGTTGGTGGTCTACCTCTGGTGGATTTTGATGTACCACCTCTTTTTTTACCTCTGGCCATTTTTCCAATAGTATAATTAATGCCCTAAATCCAAAAATGTGAATTTTTGAGATACATTGGATTAGTTAAAATTAAAAGTAACTTCTTGATCAAATAATGTATTGATCAAGTTGTGATTTAAAAATGAATTAATTTAATAACTCGCAATGCTATGCTTTGTAATTAATTATAATATCACATTTCAGTTTAATTGATAGAATTTCATTTGATTTCACACTATTTTTTTGGCTTCAGAGCCGGTCATTTGTTACAATATTTGTTATAATATAAAAATTTTATGTGAGGAATATTCAAACGCGATAAGACTGTTTCACAAATGGGAAACATTCTACACGTATTGTTGTTAATAGGAATTTCATATTTCTAAACAAAATTCATGATTAAATTACAACCAATAACATAAAATGACGGCCAGAGTTGTATGCAGTGCCTCTATCTTACGGCGTGTACAAGAGTGATAGCGCAAACATTTCCATACCTTACACCATAGATACACTACCTGAGTAGAGATGCCACTTTAATTAAAGCCAGGTGTGAGCAGGTGTGAATGCAATATGCGCGAATAATCGACTTAACCAATAAGAAATTAAATTTAGTCACTTTTAAACTTTTTAACAATAGTTAAGATAAAATTTTCAACTGTTATCACACTGTGTAATTCTACAGCTAGATGGGCATGGCATCGTGCCTTAAGGCAAATTGCTGGAACTTCCAGTACCGGAAATGATTTTTTTTAAAAAAGTATTAAAATGTTTTGAAAATTGAAAAAAATAAGTTTTTTGATAATTGACATATATATTCTGAAATCGACTTGTTTGAAACATCTCATTCTTGTATATTAGGAGTTTATTTTAATATTTTGAACTTTTTTAAAGCATTTGAGTTGCGTATCTGTTTTATATATATCAAAGCGCGTAAGCGCCGCGTCGCAGACTAACGAATAAACATTAGTACGAAACCTATAGAAATGTAAACAAAATGTTTACTTATGACCAGGGCCGGATTTAGAAATTTGGCGCCCCGGGGCAGTGACAAAAATGCCGCCCCATCCTTGAAATTTTACGAACTTTCG